CCGCTCTTTAGTTTGGTGGACTTTGAATCAGTAGTTGACTGGATACGGAGCACTGTTGCTGAGGTGAGGTTCCCACCACTGCAGTAGTAGGAAGAGAACTAGCACACAGGCCGAGAAGCAATTCAGATTTGTGAATGACTGGGATGGGGGCTCTTCAGGATCAGTGAGTGAACAAGCGTGCGAAAGCTGCAGGTAGATTTCATGTTCTTATGGGGCTTGGAGCTTCATGTTACCCCAACTTCTAATGACAAAAGGACATAAACAAATACTGTGTGCTTTCATGGGGGAAAGAAGTCAAATGACTTCAGAACTTTCCAGCATGCTGGCATCTCACTGGTCAAATTCTTTGCTTTGGCAATTTTTAGTCTTTTTTTCCATTTGGGATAGGAGCCTGAGAAGCTGGGGAGGCAAGAGAAGTGGGAACAAAGCTGGGGTGAAACTGATTTAATCAGAATTTGGTTATATTTTGTCATGGGCCTTCATGTTTCTTAGGCAGGGTTTCTTGCTGGCATACATCAAGAGTGTTCTAACTGCTAGCATAGGCTGCCCATGCACAGGATTCTTAGTGTGTTCTCTTGTGCATTATTACATAGGTGCTGTTTCATACGCATCTCAAGTATTTTGAGACAGCTACTGCTCTCACTGAATGGGTTTAGATAAATCTGAGGTGAGGTTTCTTTCGTTCTGTTTGTTTTTTGTTTCTTCACTAGCATCTTTGGAAACTGATGGTGGAGGAATCAGATTTACTAGGACAACTAAAGGTAATGTAACTGCTAGCTTGTTTTTGCTAAAGCAGCTTTATTTTTTCTTTCTTCCTTTCTTTTTGGGTACTGGATTAAATTCAGAGCTCTCCAGCTGTGCTTTGAAATGTCAGAAGTTGTCCAAGCAATAGTGAAAATAGATGCTATCAGCTAGGGTGCTTAATATTCCTGTTCAGGTTTTTATATGCTTATATACAAAAAATTATCTCCACAGATTATAAAAGATTTTTACCTTTTGGGGAGAGGCGAACTATTTCAGGCCTTCATTGACACTGCACAGCACATGTTAAAAACACCACCTACAGCAGTAACTGAACATGGTGAGTGTTACTTACTTGCTTACCGAACTGCCTTTGCTGTGGTATAGCAGGAAAATGGTTATGTATTAGTAGAGAAGAGCTCTATCTTACCCTCTAGAGCACTTGTAAACATCTCAGAAACTTTCAGATGGCAGGTTTCTCTCCATATTTGAAACTAGTGAAAATAACATGTCAGTGTTGCTTTTTATGGTTGAGCATAAATAATTAATGCAAAATTAGCACTAACCTTGTGTGGTATCTGCTCTTTCATTGTCAGATGTCAATGTTGCGTTTCAGCAGTCTGCTCATAAAGTGCTGTTAGATGATGACAACCTTCTTCCTCTGCTTCACTTAACCATTGAGTATCATGGAAAGGAACATAAAGGTATCATCTGCTTACTTTTTCAGTAGTGAGTTAAGAGGGGAGATGATGACCTTGTTTTCAAGTCCTATTACTTATCTTTCTCTGAAGTTAAAGAAACAGTAACTTTGGTCCATTTGCAGTCCTATGTGATGGCCTAGCTTGCTTTGGTTCTTCTTAAGAAGACACTCTGTTCTTTCTCCTTTTCTTCCTTGCCATGGTTGTCTTGACTAAGAAGATGACTTAATTCAGCACCTCATCTGTTTTCAGATACTTCTCAGACTCGCGAAGGGCCTTCCCGGGAGTTATCTCCACGTGAAGCCCCTGCATCTGGATGGGCAGCTCTGGGCCTTTCTTACAAAGTTCAATGGCCGCTGCACATTCTCTTTACTCCTGCTGTTCTGGAGAAGTAAGTACTAGGTATGGTCTTTATATCTTCATCTGTAGGTTTCCTGATTTCAGGCACTTATTCATGTGTTGCAGGGTTTTTTTCCTGTCTCTGGAGAGAAAGTTAGAGCTACAGTACTTTTATCCTGCTCCTTGAAAGTTAAGATGATTCCTTCTACTGATGCATATTGAGAGTACTTGTAATGACAGTGAGACCTGCAAGATGCTAAGAGATTTTATGAACAGTGCTACTTTGACAAAACAGTGTCAGCTCTTCCCTCCTTATGGTGAAATTAACTTTGTGGTTTTTAGGTCAGTAATCAATAGAAACACAAATCTGCTACTCGGATGGGCCATGACCTGACCTACCCTGTCTGTTGGCTGGCAGCCACCTTGTTTCTTTTTCTAGTCTTGCATTGTCATGTGCACCAGTATCTGCACCCAAGGAAGATTCTAATCTTAAACAACTTTGTATTTTTTGGCTGTAGGTACAACGTTGTATTCAAATACCTGCTGAGTGTGCGACGAGTCCAGGCTGAGCTACAGCACTGCTGGGCTCTCCAGATGCAGCGCAAACACCTGAAATCTAACAGAACTGATGCCATCAAATGGCGTCTGAGGGATCACATGGCTTTTCTTGTGGACAATCTTCAGTATTATCTGCAGGTCAGGATTATAGAGAAAGGAAAACTGTATCAGTTAATCAGGAACAGGCAGAAATGCATGGAGTGAGCACAAGCCCTGTCTTTCCGATTTCGGATTCTTTGTACATTAAGGAAATCGGGATTTCCCTTGGAACAACTATAGAACTTCCTCTGAGTTCCCAGATTTAGTGCTACAATTACAGTCTTTGAATTTGTGAATCACTGAGTGTTACTGGAAACGTGGGAGTCTGGGCTTTCTACTGCTGCTACTAAGCATTTGTGAGAAGCCACGGTCATCTCTGAAGTAACATCATTAAGATACTAGTTAAGATGCCATCCTGGCTTCTTTCCTTGCCCCATTAAGTGAACTTCAGTTTGAGTTAAATAACAAATGTTGTGTGGGTTTTTTGGTTGGTTGGTTTGTTTTAAGAATTGAAAAGCCATATTCTGACCATTTGAAGTAAAAAAAGAGATTTTTCAAATATAAACAGCAGTTAATAGTAGCATGATTTTGTGAGAATTAGGTATCATTTTGTTAACAGCCATAACAGCTGAATTGAGGGGCCCAGCTTCCTATATTATTCAGAGTAATCCCGCTGAGCTATTGCACTGCAGCCTTTGTCCTGAGATTCCAGATAGTATCTCCCAGTGTAAAATTCAGAGATTACTACCATCAAGTACCTTCGTTTACCTGCTACCTATATGCTCTTTCAATAGTTTATCTTAAAGAGTGTGACCTCTTCCCTTTCTCCTTAGATAATACTTAGGCATCAAAAATTGTTTGGGCCCCCCCTTTTATGTACTGCTGTTGTATATAGTTGCCCATTCAGGACACAGAGAGAAGGTGATCCTCAGCCTCTAGCATGAGAGCACCAATAAGGAAATTTCCAATAAGGAAAGCCGAGTTTCTTACACAAAACTGCTGTCTGGTCTGAAGTACTCCCATTCCTCAAGATACTAATGAGATTTCTTTACATACCAGGTGGATGTACTGGAATCCCAGTTCTCACAGCTGCTGCAGCAGATAAATGCCACACGAGATTTTGAGAGTATACGATTGGCTCATGATCATTTCTTAAGTAATCTGTTGGCTCAGTCTTTCATCCTCCTAAAACCTGTAAGTAGGTCTTGATTCCACCTTTTTCTACAAATTCTCCAACTGCCCTAAGAAACATGCCTTTTGAACAGGAATGACAAACCATCTTCTCTCAAACAGATCGTTGATAGTCTCCTGCAGAGAAGTAAACCATTTCGAAATAAAGCAGGTATAAACTAGAACAGATAACTGAATTGCAATCATTTAAGTTACAGTTGCCGAGTGTCATGCATTCCCAGCCATTTTAAATCAAGATTTCCCAGTATTCAGTTAACCTTAGTAACTTGAACTTTTGCTGCTCTGTTTTTCTTACAAGCAATTTCATTAAAGAAGTTCCAAGCATATAGCTGGGAACTGTATTCCTGAAGGACTCATTCTGAAATGCATTATATTAGGAAAAATTCCCTCTCTTACTTACATGTTAGAGGATAAAAATAGGTGAGATGTTCATGAGTGGACTTTAAGGGTATTTTTTATTGTTGTTTTAGTAAAAATATGTTGCAGTGGTGCCAGTACTTTTATTGAACATGTAGCCTCACAAACACATTTCCAGAGAAGATTGTTAATGATGGAACACAGCAATACTCCAGATTTGCTTTCAGGCTGTGGCAAAAAGGTGGCAGAATACCAAAGTCTGGAACTTTTAAGTGTTCCAGTAGTTACATCTGTGAGCCATTTGGGCTTTCTTACACTCTTGAATGCAAGTTACCTTGATCAACTGATAAAAAAAGAAAGTTGTGTGAAAGTGAAATCAAAGCCTTGACCCACAGCTCCTGATGTGTTTTATTGTTCCTTCTCAATCCTGAAGCTGCAGTGATGGCCTGTTGGCTGGATAGGGAAGCCAGTGTTCAACTTCCGTGTTTGTATCTTATAGACATATAAGTCTCATTATAATCTTAGTGCTTATGCCAATCACTGTTTTCCTGGTAATGTCTGCAAAAGGTTGGGGGTGGGAGGGAAAGATGCAGCATCACACATAAGTCCTTCTCCATGGAAAACCTTACAAAAATGCTACAGGTGTTCTAACATCTTCCTTACTGATTGGAAAACATGGTATCAGCAACAACTTGATTATGAATGCTGCAACTTTTCAGGTACTAAGAACAGCTTTTTCTGGGTTTGACCTCTATTTAAACTTATGTTACAACTTCTGTTGTACTTTTATCCCATGCAGGTTTTCCACTGCTTAAATGAAATTCTGGATCTTTGTCACAGTTTTTGTTCTCTGGTCAGTCAGAATCTGGGCCCATTGGATGAACGGGGAGCTGCACAACTCAGTATTTTGGTGAAGGTGAATCTATGGTTATCTGGACCTCCTGTTCTCCTATGCAAACATTTGCCTAAGTAGTCATATGTCTTTAACAGCTGTAGAACAGGACTGAGTTTAAGCTGAAACCTTCTAAATGAGTACTTGCAATTATTTTAATTAATCAACTCTTCCTGAGTTGAAAATTCTTTGTTAACAGAGAAGAGGACTGAGGGCAAATACAGAGAAGTTAACCTATTGGAATAGAAAAGGAGGTAGATATCAGTTGGTGCTTCTGCTCCTCCTTTCGGATACCTATCAGCTAATAATTACTGCAGCTGACAGCTTACCTTATACTGGAAATCTGGGATCACTTCTCTTACAGTGATTCTTTTCTTCAGGACGTTAAAGGGTTGTTTAGGCAGGAACAGAAAGGAAAAGCTCGTTTTCTTTATTGAGAGTGAGTGCCCAGAACTGACTTCTTCTAATTTGTAGGGATTCAGTCGTCAGTCATCACTTCTCTTCAAGATTCTCTCTAGTGTTCGGAACCATCAGATAAACTCTGACTTAGCTCAACTGCTGCTACGCTTGGATTATAACAAATACTACACCCAGGCTGGAGGAACCTTGGGCAGGTACGAATACCTTCATGGTTGCTTGAAGTACAAAGTGATCTAAATGATCGTAAGTCATTTTTATTAATTGTGGAAGCCAAAATAATTAGAAGCAAAGTGTTGATAAATACTATGACAGAAAAGTAACAAACCAACATGAGTTAACTTTTGGTTTTCTTATGCTTTCTCACCATCAAGTTTGTTTTAGCATGAAGTTGAACTAGTTGCTAGCTCATACAGGCTGAAAAATGCCGATGTGGGTTGGTAAAGAAAGTTCCTTTCAGCATGTAATTTTAATATTTACCCTTCTCTTGCAGTTTTGGGGTTTAAGCACCGAGACCTTCGGGCCGTGACCAATGCCATGTTGAGCAGTGGAGACTGTGACCTTGGAGAGCTTGCACTGAACTAAGCGTTAGTTTGTGGCTGGCTCTTGCTGGTGAAGCCCTGTTTCAGAAGGAATTGGCAGGAAGTACCACTTACTGCAAGGCTGCCCTGTGACTGCAGAAAGCTACTCCATGTTTTCCGAGCTAGTAAAAACATGCTTTCTGCAGCCCTGCATATATGTATGAATGGTTTTAGGGAGGCAGTCTGTACCTCTTCAGAAAGCAAAAAAGCAACAAGAATTACAATGTCTTGACTCTTCAGCTGGACTGTGATCTTTTGCAAGTTGGAGTATAGAGAAAGCGGTCTGTTGTTCTTGACTATGAATGAAGTTACGGCTCTATTCAGAAGTTCCACTGCTTTACAGTACACAATGTCTGCTAATGAAATACAGTCTTGCAGGTAAATGCAACAACTGCAATAACAGCCTGAGGGAAAGGGGGAGGGAAGAAGGATTTTAGGAATCTCTTCTCATACAATGCATTGTTCTAGCATATCTGTACAGGTAAAGGAGCTACTAGTGGTGTCACATGCTTTCCCTATAAAACATAGTACATTTTGTGTGCTATAGTTACGCCCATCAAGACTGAAGTAGGAGCTTTGCCCTATTCAAAATAAAACCCTCCCTCTGCTGGCAGAAAAGTGCTAGAACTAAAACTGGGGAGAAACACCCAGGATGCCAGCTCTAAATGCTGCTAGTGACTGTCCCCTACTGAACCAGAATAAAACCATCTTGTCACGCAATTATGACGAATATTGTCAGTGTCTGCACCCAAGTGCAAAGGGCTTAGAGTGGCACAGCGTTGTGTTCCCTGAAAAGCAGTATTTGGCAGGAACTTCTTGCATGTTACTAAGATTTCCTAGTCTTGCTAAAACAGACTATCTTGCAGTAAGTCCAGCTGGATGAATGGCAGAAGAGAGCCCTCCTGTCTGTCACTGGGGTGTAGTATCAGCTTTCCCAGTTTGAATGCAGAGGCTACCAGGAAGCCACCCCTGCCCTCAAAGTGCTGGTATTTTCACACTCTAAAGCTGCAGCTCTTGAAAAGTTATGTGTGCCTGGGGGGAAAAAGGATGCTTTATGCACACTTGGATACAGTAACAACAGCCAGCCAAATAGATTGCCTGGCATCTTCAGTACACTACAGATGTTTGTGGTTGGACCGTGCCTGATGCAGAGTTTAAAATCCTGTGACTGTGGAAAAAAGTTAGAAAAACAAGAAAGGGTGTTGAAGTTTGGATGTGGGATTTACAGACCAACACACTCAGAAGGTGACTGAGCTATGAAATGATAAGGTAAAAAAAACACCTAAAGAAAAACTTACATTTTTGAAGCAGGGGACTTAAGACTCTGAAGGAGGCTGGATGGAGGCCTGGGAAAACACACCTCTAGTCTATAGGGTTGTAAAAAGTGAAGAACTGTTCAACTCTTTTTTCTTTATGCAGGTTGACCATTAAGATAAAGCGCCTGGCTGTGAATGCAGCAGCTTACAAGTAGACTTACTCCATATAAACAAAACTATACAGCACTTACTCTTTACACCTCAGTCTCCCAGCAGTTCAGCTGTCCTAGGTCCCTGTGTCTGCATCTCTTCTTAGGTAGTGCCAGTCTGCACTAAGGCAGGTCAGTACCTAAACAGTCACAACAGTGAGGAGAAAAAAAAAAAAAAAAAAAAAAAAAAAAAAAAAGAGAGGTAGCCAAACCAAAATGCCACTTTGTCCTACAAGTTCTAACCAGGCACTTAGAGAATAGGTAGGGTTGGAAAGACCTGAAGATCACATCTAGTTCCAACCCCCTGCCATGGGCAGGGATGCCTCACGCTAGACCATCTCTCCCAAGACTCTGTCCAGCCTGGCCCTGACCACTGCCAGGGATGGAGCAAGTTGCAACTTCAGCAATGTGTTGAAGAAATTAAAAATACCAGCAGCAAAGTGGAGTACACATCATGCTATTCTTCCAAGAAACAAGTGCTGCTGCCCTGAACTTGGTCATAGGGTATTCACTTCTGTAAATACAGGCTGCCAGGTAAGAACACCCTTGTCCCTTCCCTTCCTGTATTATTGATTTTGTATTAGCCTTTTACTGGAAACAGGGTATTCGCGCTATTCAGCTCAGAGAAACGAAAGCATTTCTTTGCCCTCCTCTGGAGGCACAGTCCTGGAATACGTTTAGATAAATGAGGAGTCCCAGCAGCTACCACAAGAGATTGAACATTTATTTCATCATAAAAGCCCAGGAGATAAAACTATATACAGTAATCCATGCACACTGTCCAATTACACAAACATTTAAAACCTGATTAAAACACGGTCTGCACAACAGTGGGACAGCAGAGCAAAGTTTTCACTTAGTGGGAGGCATAGTCATGTTTATATTTTGGATGCTTGTAGTAGCCTACTCTCTCCCCAGCAATAAGGCTTTGGATCACCCACTCTTGGGAAACAACAGGCAGCCGTAAAGCTTCAGCACACTTCAAGACACCAGCAGGGCAGGAAAAATCAGTCACCACCACATCATAAACACCCAAAGGAATATCTGCACAGGAAGAAAGACAGGGATTTGTGAGGAAAAAAAAGAAAAAAGGATCTTCTCTGCAGGAGACCAGTTTGTTTCACCACTGTGAAGCTCTTCCATGTCCTCTCATTCCTAGCCAGGAAATTCTCTTTTTGTAAAAGTTAAGACTTGCTCTACCTGCACATTCTACACTGCACCTTTCAAATAAAAGATTCCCTCTAGTCCAGACAGAAAACAGAAAACTAGTAGCCAACATGACAGGCAGGACTAGATACCACGAGTCCTGACCTCAGGCTGTGAGTACTAGGACCTACATCCCATATGGAAATGGAGAGACAGCTGAATTCAGAGGCACAAAGCAGCACAATTCTAGTGACCTACAGAAGGTCCAGGAGCAACTCTTGCCTCTTTTCCCCTTTCAACCTAGGGCTAGAAGCTGATGGCTTGTGTCCTGAATTGTTGTACCATCTCCTTCTCTGGAAGGTAGGTCTAGATGTCACCTTCTAAATTATATTCAAGCAGAGAGCTAGCATCTGCACTTTGCTTTCCTTTATGCTTAAAGAATGCCTTGTAAACCACCCTAACTGGCTTTAGACCATACTAGAGACATGGGATGGGATTCCTCACTTATAGGCCCAAGAAACTGACCAATGAGTACCTTTGTTGTGAGCATTTGAGTAATGCTGTTTAACAGATGCTGCTCCCCCTGTCATGAGTATTTCAGACCACAGATCCAGGAAGTTCTGCTGCTGGTCTGACACCAGGAGAACCTTCAGGTTATGGAATGGGTTTTCTCGTGGATGCCTGCAGTGTAAAGAAGAGATATGCAGATTGCTAATAATATCCAGTAGCCTGAAACTTTATTTGAGGACCATTAATCTAATTCTTCCAGTTACCTCACTGGCTCCCATATGAATATGGAAATTCTTTGGGTATCTTGCATACAATGACCTGCTGTCTTACCATCCCTCCTGAAATACTTGGAACTATTATCCTCCGTTTATGGATAGTAAAACAGTTGACAATACTGGTGGTGTGTGTGTGTGCAGCAGCCTAAATCCAAAATTAGGCTAAGCTCCTCCTTAATCCTGAACCACTTTTCTGTGCATATCCAAAATGCATCTGCTTTGGCAGGGCTGAGCAGGCTCGCACTGGTCTTCTGCCCAAAAGCCCACAGAAATTTACAAATTGCTTTTGTCCGCCTTCACCTTGCCTAAAGAATCTGACCTGACAATTGTTCTCTCAGAACAGACCTACTAAATTAGACTATAGAAAATGCAGAAGCTGGCTTCAAAACGTACCAATTAAAGGAAATTGCAGTAGTATTGTTCTCCTTTATCCATTTCTGAGCAATTAGTCAGCGAAGTGTGTGGAAAGCCTGGCCTGAATTCTGCCTTCCTCATGAGGAGACTGACAATTTTTTCTTACTTCCCAAGAGACTTTTCTATGATTATGGCACGCAAATGTACCTTTGCATTAGAGCTCACTGTAAATCCAAGGGAAGAGGTGGAAGTGCTGTTCCTATATGAAGAGAAGGCATGGGGAGCAGTACTAGGGCCATCTTCAGTACTCTGGCTAAATCCTCAGTCTGTGGACTCAGATTCTAGTTATTTGGCACTTACCATTCCAGCAATTTTTGCTCCTGGAGGCTATAACCAGCTGGCAAAAGGTAATTCCGGTAATTCTGAAGCTGGTTAGCATGACAGCTGTCATGGACCCAGATATGAGACACACAAGGGATCCCTCTGGCAAGGCACAGCAAGTATTTCCGAGTTCGGCAATGCTGATCCGCAATTAAAAGACACTGATACGCTGCATTGCACTTCAGAGGAGATAGAAAGACACGTCAGCAGGAGACAATGCTTGCAAAAAACCCCAGAAGTCATCCTGCTGCTAAACACTTCAAGAGAGAACAATTAAACCCGATTTTCAGAGCCATATTATATGAAAGCTGAATTAGAGAAACAGATTCTGAAATCAGGAGTACCCCTAATAGTCACCTATTCCAAGCTGTGCAGTTCACAGGCAAAAACTCTGCCTAGTAGTTTTGCTATCATAATTATCTCTTCCAGGTCAGAAGATTCACTGCTTAGTCTGCAGCTCAGTAAGTCGCTAGAGAAGACTTTGCATCTTCAGGCAAGATGCTCCAAAAACAATTTACCCTCTCTGTTAAAAATCTAAATTTAAAGTAAACCTGACAGTAAACGACATTAGTTGTCCAAGTAGATCTGGTAAGTGAAGAATGAAGAGCTCTACCTCTAAGTATTCCGAGGCACAGACCTATGGTACTGCATCCCTCTGGAGTACTGCATCCACTCCTATGTTCCACAGTACAACAGAAACAAGACATACAGGAGCAGACCCAGCCAAGGGCCATTAAGGCATCTAGGCACTGGAGCAACTGACATACAAGAAGCAGCTGAGAGAGGTGAGCTAAATTTAAGCTCAAGAAAGAGAGGCTGGGGTGGTCTTGTCAATGCATATTCATGACTGATAGATGGGAGGGTGTACAAAAGATGAAGCCAGACTCTTCTTGGTGTTATCCACTAAAAGGACAAGAAGCAACAGGTACAAATTTAAATGCAGGAGATTCTTTTTTTTTTTAATTGGGGAGGGTCAAACACGGGATGAAGCTGCCCAGAGAGGCTGTGGAGCTTCCATCCCTGAGCACACTCAAAACCCACTGGACAAGGACCTAAGTAATCTGCTCTACTTGATCTTGCTTTCAACAGGGGGTTTGGACAAGATGGGCTGTCAAAATTTCATCCAATCCCAACTAGGCTGTGACTACTGTTCTAGATCAGTAAGTGATCCCTTACCTGGGTTTCATTGAAGTCTTCCAGAATATAACCAGCTCCTGCTCGCAGCTGCTGTGCTATGTAATGTTTGTCATATGGAGTCATCTCTAAAAACTCTACAGCAGAAACAAAGTTCAATTTTTGGCTGTCATCTATCTGCTTATGTCCATACACTCCTCAGTCCATGGTGCCTCATCCACTCCAGTGAGGGAGCCCAGCCTTCCTCCCAAGAATAATTAAAGAAAACCCTTTGAACAGTAAAATAAGAACAAACAAACCTGCCCCCCCCAAAAAAAACCCAAAAAAAACAGGGGGCAAAAAAAAAGCAGTGGCCAGATGAGCTCAGCACCAGCAGCAAGCACATGGGCTGCTGCCTTCATACTGCAGTTTATTGCATGAAACATGACCCTAACAAAGGCAAACTGGAGCAAACCATTCATGTTTTGCAGTCCTGTGTTTCTCAGCACTATCCTGTATGTCTCAAAACCTTCCTTCTCGTGTTATATTGACACTGCTGATCTCACTAATTTTCACACCTATCTTAACTTGCTGAACAGCCCCAGGATCATCACCAAGGTTTGCCACATTTCAGGCTGTAAATCCTCTAAACCAAAGATTGACTCTTAGGTCCTTCTGCAAAGGATTAAAGAACAAAAGGGTAAAACAAGCACTCAAACAAATGCCTGATCAGAGAGCATCCAGTGTTTTTCCTAAAGCCACAGTATTCCAATTGGAAATGCAATGGATAAGATTTGCCTCACCTTCTTCCTCCTCACTACTCCCTGCAGGACCATCTGATGGCTTCTGGTGATTGACCAACTTGTCACTGGGTGTTGCCATGGTGAGGAGAAAGGCATAGCCCAAAAAGAGAGTTTTATTGTGGGGCAAGGGTCCATGATGGTCCTCCAGTACTGGAGGATCTACAGCATCTACACGTTCACAGGTGCTTACAGGTTCTCCAGTTCTCACAGCCCCTGCAGCGAGACAGAAGTACCATGAGTCTCAAAAGTCAGGTTCAGTACAAAGACCCTGGGTAAGATTTGAAATATGTTCAAGTTCAGCTATTTTACTAGAGGAGACAGAAGAAGGCAGGACTGGTAGGACAGATAGAGATCTTTTACCTTTCCGGTTGCAAAGAATCTTCAAATCACAACCTGAATGATGAAACTGACAATGTTTGACAGT